GCTTTTCGCTATCTGGCCCAGTACTATTTTAAGTGCAAGCTGTGGGATGAAGCTTCAACTTGTGCCCAAAAGTGTTGTGCATTCAATGATGTGAGTATCAATTTTTCAATAAAGGGCTTGGATTTTAGGCTCCAATATATGATGTTTACCATGATCTAGGGTGGAAGGTGGATAAGAAGGTAAGTGGAAAGGCTACTTTGATCTGTGGAACTTATTTATCAGTATTTTAGAACCTATTTATGACAATAGCCTTGGACATATTTTGAAACAGTTGCCTTTGTTTCAGACCCGGGAAGAAGGTAAGGCCTTGCTCCGGCAAATCCTGCAGCTTCGGAACCAAGGGGAGACTCCTTCCACTGAGATGCCTGCTCCTTTTTTCCTCCCTGCTTCACTGTCTGCTAACAACACTCCCACACGCAGAGTTTCTCCACTCAACCTCTCTTCAGTCACACCATAGTGGCTACTTTCAAGCTAGCACATTTCCAGACCCATATTAAGCCTTACCTCCAAGTAAAAAACAGCCATGTCTGTTCTTCCAAGGACTTTAGCTCTTTTTGTTTGTATAGATGGAAAACAGTTCCTTGGGGGAGTTTATAGAATCACCTTAAGAGCAGACTGACAGAAGAATCCTGGCAGGAATAGTCTTTTGTCAGTTAGAAGCACTTCTATCGTCCTTCTGTTCACGGTGGCTACAGATCTTGGACTCATTCCCAGACACCCCACCCACCCCACTGCAAAACATCTCTTTAATAGCACTTTAGCAAAGGCAAAGCTACAGGAACAAAGTTTTAATGCTGCTAGGAGTGGAATCAGATTTCTTTAGAGGGGCAAGGAAAGGAGAAAAGTCTGCCACTCTACTGTCTGTGGCAGTAGGGGCACTAGATAGACACGATCTTGTCATGCTTGGATTTGCTGAGCGTGACTATTTTGATGTCAGAGATTGGGTTTAAATGGAGTGAAGCTATACATTTGTTCTTACTCTAGGGAGACATTCTTCCAAAACATGGTTTTGAAGTCTCCTGGAAGCTTTCAAATTGGAAGTGAACTTCCTAGAGTTGAATAATAGAAGGCAAAAGATGTCTACAGCTATCTATACCTCTACTAAAGCAAAGCAAAGAGACAGGATTATAGATAATTTCATGGATATGTGGGAATGATAACTTTTGTGATTTTACAGATAAGAATAAACTCACTTCAAGCTGGTCTGTTTTTAACACTTTTGATGTAATTGTTTAATTTTTTCCCTCTATCTCACACAGAATATTTTTTCAGCCTTTATCTGATGAGATAAGGTAAAGGGAATCATTCTTGGCTGTGCTGTTAGAGGGTTTCAAGCCTGTGCATGTGTATTCAGTAGGAGATAATATGCTATGTTTACTGTAATGAATTTGTACAGTAGATGCTATGGATTATTGAGTTCAGGGCCCAGCCTTTCTTTGTTTGTCTCCAGAAGTTTGTTTGTTACCCATTCACCTCTTAAAGGATGACACTTCATTATACATTAAGGCAAGTTTAGAATATCTAATGTCTTGAATTCATTTCTTACCAAGTTTTCTTAGGTTGCAGTACACTAGTTGCTCTCTACTGCCATTCCTGTGCAGGGTTCCCATGAGTCCGAATGATGTTTGATTTTCAATTTTTATACTTTTTCTGCCCTTTTATAATTTGTTTTAATGATTTTGCTAAATTTGGAATTCAAATAAAACCGTGAACAATACCTTTATTTAATATAACTTTTTTGTGTGCATAGAAACCATATAAGTAAAAAAGTATGCGATTACATAGGTGATATTACACAAGGGGGAGGAGGAAACACCTAGTGTCTGAATATTGCATTCTGGATAGAGTTCAGGTACATGGTAAAGCTTAAAAAGAGACCTATTTCTTAAGCTGAGCAGCTGACCCACCTCAAGTCAATGAGTGCTCACTCCATCCCCACAGCCTTAGTATTTTTTACCAAAAGGCCCAGATTTGGGCAAAGGAGAGCGCCGTGAGCGCAGGATCCGGGCATAAGGGCTGCAGTCTGTTGAGCTTTGGCAGGTGGGTGTTCGGGAAAGGAAGTTTCGAAGAAATGGTTTTTTCCCTGGGGGCTGTTGGTCTGGTTGCTGGTTTTCCTGGTTGGCGCCAAGGCGCTTTTTAATAGAAGCCTGCCCTTGGAGTTTTAGCACGGTATGATACTGCTCTGCGATGCATGCTGCCTTCTTCCGAAGGTCCAATTTTACTAGCATCATGTTATTCTGCAGCTCAGCCAGGGTCTGATCCTGAGGAAGATCAATAAAGTTAAAGAAAACATTTATGTCTGGTATACTAGAGAAACAAAATGGCAAAATAATACATGCCATCCACTACTAGTTACAATAGTTTTTATAAAGATTAACTCTTTAAGATCAGATTTTATAATTGAATAGGGGATATTTAAGACCTAAACAAACATCATTGGATATAAGGTCATTTTCTAACACAAGATGATATGAGCTTGAATAATTTTACTTAACCTCCTCAGTTCCTAGGTATCAAAATTAAGTTCTATGTTTAAGACTTTTAAAAAATATATTTTAATATCTCTAGAATCAGGATATATTTACTGACAACAAATGTCATAACTTAATTGTTAGACTTTTGTCTTAGTGGTACATGAAATAGATTGTAAGAAACCATTAAGTATCTTGGATGAAATGTGATACTATATACCTTCTCAGGGTTGTTATAACAGAGCAAATGCCTATAAATTAGCACAGCATCTTGTACTTCATGACTGGTTATTTTTATTTCGCAAGAAAGAGAAGTTCCCCTGACTCTAAGATTAGTCTAAAAATCTTTATCTCTCTCTTCTGTCCTCATTTCCGGTTCCACATATACTCTGGCATGGGCTGATGGGAGAGAGGGGGGTATATACACTGCCCTAACCTGTTTGATTAAGATGTCATCACAAGTGGTCAAGGCTTGACGAAGTTTTCCTGCCCCAGTGCTGTGGCAACAGGCTCTTTCTGCTGACTGGAGAGACTCACCAAGTTTCTGAAGCTCTGTTCGCAGCAGCCTTATATTCTGAAAAAGGAGTAGTAGTAACCAAATGGTGGCCGATATCAACCAGGGTAATGATCTGGAGGGGTCAAATAGCCATTTGAAGAGAGGTAAAATTAGAAAGTCTAAGTAGCCAAATGAAGTAGCCACTTTCCAGGACTGTGCATAAAAATATCCTCACATGAACCAGGAATATAGTGTGGGAAATTGCCTTAGGTAAGAGCTTCAGTAATAGGGAAAGGTGATTACCTTCTGGCCCTCCTCTAACTTCTTGTCCACATCAGTGGTGAAGGGCTTGGCAGAGGGTGGCGGTTCTAACATTTTCTGATACTTTTGCAGCTCTAAGGGAAGGAAACATGAAACTTCAATATGTAGGCTTACGTCTTTAACTGAATTAACAGTAGCTTGCAGCAACTATGCAAAGTGAGGCCACCTGCATCCCAGAGTGAAAGGTCAGAGGGAATGTGGCTTAGAGTTAAGGAAATTATCTTAGAGTTGGTGTCAGAAGGCCCAAGTTAGGAGAATAGTTCTTCTCTGAGTCACTGTTATGCTTCCTGCCCTCTCTAACTTCCTCACCTTCAGTGGTGGAGGTTAGCTCTGCTCTGCACTGATCCAGCTGAGCTTTAACCTCCTGGAGCTGCTGGGTGGAGGCAGAAGTTGCCAACCTTTGTGACCGCCGCAGCAGGGATAATTCAGACCCTGATTGTTGATGGGCCACTGGCTGTTGTCTGGCTTCCTTCAAGAGAGCTTGTAGCTCTTCAATCTTCTCATCCCGTTCCTACAAGGGAAGCAGAGGGCACAATTCCACCCAGAGGCAGACAAATATGGCAGAAACAGATGACTGAATAATGAACAAAACCTTCCTTCATACTTATGCCTTGAAAGCCCATTTGTTAGCACTTATAACATTTCCTGGCCAACCAGACCCTTAATCAATTCACCAAACGTAGAATGACACAAAGCATTAAAAATACTAGAGAAAAGCAAGTTACACATTCCTACCCCTATCAGTTTATAAAATCTTTACCAGAGGCAGCAG